TTCCTCCCCCCCCCCCTCCCCCCCATCATTCAATCCCAGCTCGGGCAGGCCCCGGAAACTGGCACCAGTCCCAGCTGAGCCAAAGGTAGCGGAGGCGCCCAGCCTGCATTTTTGCAAAGGGTGCTGAATTCACACCTAGGCTAGGCTAAGTGGGGCGGGCGGGGAACTAGCTCGAGGAGCTCAGCACGGCCCAACGGAACGAAGGTGAGGAAGGAGCTGCAAAGGTTTAAGTTCTTGGTCCCAAATGGCCATAGCGGGCTAAAACCCCCATAACCCCCCTCTCAGGTAGCGGAGGCGCCCAGCCTGCATTTTTGCAAAGGGTGCTGAATTCACACCTAGGCTAGGCTAAGTGGGGCGGGCGGGGAACTAGCTCGAGGAGCTCAGCACGGCCCAACGGAACGAAGGTGAGGAAGGAGCTGCAAAGGTTTAAGTTCTTGGTCCCAAATGGCCATAGCGGGCTAAAACCCCCATAACCCCCCTCTCCCGCCAGGTCCCTAAACTCCTGTGTAGCTGGTGCCTCAGGCAAGGAGGGACTTTCATGGTGGAAACTAAGTGGCTGTCTCTAGGCACTAGCCCAACATGGGGAAGGTAAGTGTTCCCTCCCCAGCTCACACGCAAGATGCTGCTGGAGAGCAACATCCTCTCTTCCCCCCCTTCTTTTATTGCTGCCTTGGGATTGCTCCGTCCCGTTTCTCCCCAGGTGAAGTCTGGCACAGGGCCTGCCCGTTGCCTGGCTTTGCTAAACCGTTCCCAGTACGGGCCATGGCCCTCTGTAGCAACAGCTCCTAGCAGCTATGGGGGGGTTAGGCACCTCACTCTCTCACCCCTCTCACTGCCAGGGCTAGGGGATGTGGTGTGTAAAAACACCCGCTGCTACTTGCTCTCTGCAGCCACACTGGCCAGGTAGCAGCAACAGGGAGAAATGAGCTGTACAAAGAGCAGCCGCTGCTGCTGGCGTGCACACAGCGTAGGCTGGCCCGGGGGCATGAGGCAGCTGGCTCAGAAACAAACGGCAGATCACTGTCACCTCCCTGAGGTTTAAGGGTTATTTCGAAGAGTTTAACCCCGCGGGGACCGCGTTTGTGGTTTCAAAAGACGCTATCCCAGAAAATCGGCAATTATGCAAATGAAGCATGGGAAATGCAGCAATCTGCAATTATGCAAATGAAGCATGGGAAATTCAAATCTGCACTTCATTTGCAATTTCCGGTCTCTCCATTTGCATTCCTCTCTTGGAAGAGGAATGCAATGTAGACATACCCTTTCTAACTGCCTGTTCAACCTTGGACAGTACTAGACTTTATTCAAACTACCTAAAGGTTTGAGGCACCAAAAATTTGAATATCTTTGTTACGAGCCTTAGAGACAAAATTCTTATATAGAGTTTTATAATTGGGTAAAACTACAGCAAAGATGTGAATGTGCAGAATAACCTTGAAATTCTAGTCAGCATAGTCCAAGCTGGGTAAGAGCTAATGTAACGGTTACATTGACGCCATAAATGGTAGAGAACTTTTGAGAGCAGAAAAACAATGTATTTTTCACCTATTTTTTTGCAAACTTTAAACCTGTTGCCATGTAAATGGTGTTTTTGCACACTTTAAACCTGTTGCCATGTAAATGGTTTATCTGAATGCCAAGTGACTAACAAAGTTGACTTGTAACAGACAAAATTTTAAAGTATATAAACAGAAGCGATTTTTGTGAAAATCCTGTAACGCACAACACCACTGTCATGAAGTTCTACTGGACATCTCTGATTGGTTGACCAGGCCTTGAACGATGAACGCAGCAGCTTTGTTTCTTTTCACAGACACCTGCCATTCATTCTGAACCTCCCTCGCTCCACACACTTCTCCAATAAAAGTTGTTTGCTAAACGTGTTGTTTAAAATTGCAGTTCTAAGCAGCCAATAAAACGAGAACGTAGTGCTTAGCTAGTTGGGCAAAAGTCCAAAATCTGGGCCAAAGTCCAAAATCATCAGGAAGGTGGCAACCCAGGATTCACGTTACTGAAAAATCCTAATATCAGACATTTGCAATCATGTGGCAATCAGTATAAAAATCTCTCCCCCTTAGAGATGAGAATTCCTCCAGCTCTGCGCTTTCCCTGCTTGATGCTGACAATTTCGTAGCATTGTCTGTAAACCATTTTATACAGGTATTCCAATGGGACCTAGGCGTCTGTGGTAGAGTCACTCAGCTTTTAAGGTCATTCTCAAGTGGTGATTGACACATGCACATTATGAAAAGACAATCCTGAAATTTAGTATCATGGGGGAAAATATCATCGTGCCAATTCTCTCTCTCGCTTATTGATGCATCCTAGAACAAGGTCAACGGGCTTTTTCAGGCCCGCCTGCCACAGAGCTCAGTTTTGCAGGGCAACAATGGCTCCAAAGCTTGTAAACTTAAGCAGCTATGAAGGGAAAAGCATGGGCTGCTGTACATAACATCGCCTTCAATTCCAATTTGCATACTGCACCGCCCCCTATAGCGTCCTGGTGGGAAGGAACACTTGCAGAGTTGCGCATTTGCTGTAACGTTTTACCCATCTCTGTGGTCTTGTGGTTAAACTGACTTGTGCTAGACAGAACCATTGCTTCCCTCACTCCAGGCGTGGGGTGTATTCCCTGCACTTACTTCCGTGCGTTAAGCCCTTCCTCCGGAAAAGGAAATCTTCCCCCTTTCACAGTCATAGAACAATAAAACCGGAAGAGACCTTACATGGCCATCAAGTCCAGCCCCCTGCCCAAGGCAGGACCAATCCCAATTAAATCAACCCAGCCAGGGCTTTGTCAAGCCAAGACTTAAAGATTGTTGATGCTTAAAATAAGAGGAGAGAAACAGATAGATCAACAGGTACCATGCAGGAAGTTTTTAAACCTTGGACTAGGTACTGTGAGTTGGGGCTGCCAATCAAACCAGCTTTTGATATTTGTTTCCTCATTATTAGACCAAGGTCCATCTAGCTCAGTGTCCTGTCTGCCAGCAGTGACAAATGCCAGATACCCCAGAGGGAGGGAACACAACTGGTAATCCTCATGGGTATGTCTACACTACCCTCCTAGTTCGAACTAGGAGGGTAGTGTAGACATACCCCATGTGATCCCTCCCCTGTCACTTCTTGCCACACAAACAGAGGCCAGGGACACCGATCCTACCCATCATAGCTAATAGCCATTGATGTACCTAACCACCATGAATCTCTCTCGCTCTTTTTTGAGACTTCTTCAAGTCCTAGATTCAATTAAGTGGTCATATCAACATTGGAATGGCACAGACTTATAAATGGAAATAGCACAGCAATTGTGTTGCCCAAACATAGTGAATGAAATAATGAACTGTCTTCTGGTTGGTGTTCTCTCAGTACAACGTTGTGTGTCTTTGGAGAAAACCAAACCTACCAATAATACGTTGGGCCAGAGTTGGGCAATTCTGGTGGTTTTGTTCATGAAGTATTTGGATACATATGGCCAGAGATATGCTCTGGTTCTTTTTCAATTGCTTCAGCCACACAGTGGTGAAGAGAGGTAATTTTCAGCATTGGCAGGAAGATAATGTAGGATCTAAAGCAGGTAAAGGAAACAGCATTAAGTTTTCCCCTGAACTTTAACCCTGCCTCAAACAGAACCATTTTTGAAGTTTTGAAATGTTTGGATAAAAAAAGGCTTTTTCTTCTTCTCATTTATTTTCTTATGCATCATGAGAAAGGATGATGTTACTTCCTCTCAGATATCCTGCAAGAAGTCTCACACACACACACACACACACACACACCTTCTCTCCTGAGATGTACAAGTCATTTTGCAGACTCAGTTTTGGTAATCCTTTAAAATTGTGACTATATTTAACCAAGTCTAAATTACAAACTTCTGGAAGGTTTCCAGTCCCTGTTTTTCACTCAGGTTATAGTGAAACAAAGCCATAATTAGACACAGAAATAGCTATTTGTAAAAGTAGCATTACATCAATACACTCTTGACTGTATGTCTTTGTAGGCTTGGCAGAATTGTTTTTAAATAATTTTGATAGAAAATGTTTGTTTTCAAGCCCTGTTTACATTTTTATCGATTTAAATGTTCAGCTGCAGGAAACTGGGAAGCAGGCAATGATGTAACAATAGACATTCAGGTTTAAAAAGTTAAATCTTTCCTGCTGTCACAATGCAAGTTATTAATGTCACATCACTCCATGTAAAGCAAACCTGCTTTTGTCAAACTCTAGTCAGTTCTCAAGCAAGACTTCGTATTTTGCCTACCTGCATATTTCTGTTACCACCGATGGAAATATTTTTTCGTCTGTGCAACTGATGTTTACTGACATTTACCGATAAAAATCAAATCCTTCCAAGCTGAGGCTTGTTACCTGCATGTGTTCTGGTTATTATTGTACACACAAGATGAACACACTTTTTCATTGGACAGGCTCCCTAGCCTGACGTGGTGTGTAAACAGGAAATTATTCTACAGTTACAGAGAATATACAGTTTATGAGGACCGTGCAACAAAATGCACTTCCTGCAGGCATGCATGTTTTTAACGCTAGATCTAGTTGGAAGTGCCAAATAGCCATTACAAATCAGATACTTAGTACTACTGGTTATGTACTGCTGTCATAAAGTAAGGGTGTACTATACTGTAAGTTTTCAGAATGATCAATTAATTGCACAGGAACACATGACGCACACTGAAAAAAGATGTACTGTACTTGGTGTGATCACGTCCAAATCAAAGATCACATTTTAAGGGTGCTAAAAGACAAAGTGTTAAGGCCGGCCCTGCTGTGTATGGAAACAGTAAGTTAGACTGGCAAAAATTATACTATACTAAATAATAATGGTAAGAAAAAAACGCAAACCAACACACACAGAATATGCATGATTTATTATAATGCCAAAAACTTTAACAGTGTTCTGTGGTACTTGACAATGCTTCTTTTTGTTTAATATATAAAATGTATTTTAAAAAAGAATGATGTTTTTGCAAATTAAAATCTTACAAATTTCTATGGTGTAAATGTATGGTAAAAATTGTAATGAGATCTTTAAAAAAAATCTCTTGTAGAGATATTGAGGAACAGCTGATGAGATTCTAAGATCAAATGTTTAATTTTCTATATCTTTAGAATTGATTACAAGACGAATGTAAAACTCAACATATTTTATTTTTGTAATGCTCCTGAAAACATTAAGGTATCAAAGGGAAAATTATGTGGTCACTTGTAAAAGGGCTGTTTTAGAAGGGGATCATGGACAAAGTCCCACCTTCCCATGTGGCTTTAATGCTCAAAAAACAGCGATAGAGTCTATGGTATATAATAAATATAAAACTGACACGCCCACTGTTTGAGGCACGAAACAACACAGCTACAAAGAATTGCTTCAAATGTTCATTTTTATTCTTATTTGGAAGACAAAACTAAGCAGTGTATTCAGGGAAGAAAAAAAAGCTTTTCTAATGGCCAGTAAGTTCAAAATTGACCACTGTGGTTGGTAGCCATAGGCACAATTTTATATAAAGGCCATCTCTTTAAAAATACCATATAATAGGGCAAGGTGCCCACATAATTAACGAGGAATTAAGTAACCTTATGTATTTAGAAAGCAGTTATGAATTTTCTTACACATAATGTATACTCTAGAACACTGGTACAGCAGTACTGTAAAATTTAAAGTATAAACTCTCATCGGCTCTATAGCACTATCATTCTTATTAAGTAAAGTACAGGAGATTATCTCTCAATACTACTATCTTTGTTTTTAGATAAGAGCTATTCTACATTTCAAATGATTACCAAGTAATGGAATGTTTGAAAACAGCGATATTGTTGAGGGGGGGGAGGGGTTGTCCCATAAAATTTTATTAGATTGTAAAGGGGTCCGTCCGTATGCCAGAAAAGGTTGGGAGCCACTGCTCAATAATGACGACTGTCCTAGGGTACGTCTAGACTACAGAGTTTTGTCGACAGAAGTTTTGTCAACAGATACTGTCGACAAAGCTTCTGTCGACAAAGAGCGTCTACACTACATTCAGTTCTGTCGACAAAGCAAGCTGCTTTGTCGACATGGTAGTGTAGACGCAAAGGACAGTTTACATGCAATAACACCTTCTGTCGACAGAAACTCTGTCGACAGAAGGCGTTATGCCTCGTAAAATGAGGTTTTATGAGGTTTTATGAGGCGTTATGTCGACAGAACTCAGTGGTAGTGTGGACGCAGGTATAGTTTTGTCGACAAAACCCTGTAGTCTAGACACACCCCTATTGTCGGTCTTTAGGACAGTACAACTGGCTTCCAAAGATAGCTTGTTCATTTTATTTTCTTCACTAGCTCAGGTCTAAGAAACATACCAGGAGTCATAAGGAACAATTGCATGAGTAGAGCAAGGCTAGTTGATATTTCAGAAAAGTCATCAGAAAAGAGTCAGATGGTACAGATGAGAAGTCTCAATGTGTTACATGCAATGAACGTCAGTAGACAGACCCTTCAGGAGATAGTATAATTGCAGTGCTAACCACACCTATCTAAAATAGCGCCCAACATACCGACACTGCAGGATATGAGTTTTATGCATTTTTGGTTGTCCATCAGTTGTCCAAAAGTTTCTGAAAGGAAAGGAAAGAGTCTCTGAAGTAGATTGAACTAGCTTGGCTAGTCTCTAGCAAACCACCACCACCACACACTTTCTGAAGAGTATATCTACGATTTGTGCGTAATAACCATAACCAGCGGGTCTGGAGGAAATGCAGAAATAAGTGAGATTCTCTGAGAAATTAATGTCTTGCATGTTCTATGTCCATTTACTGTTTATATCACTATTATAGGCCAAATTTCTAGATCAAAATTTAAAGGGAAATTTGAATAGCCAAGAATTGTTACAGTGCACATGCACGTCCTAATAAAAATCCCTTGCACACGACATGCGTAAAATATTTATGGAAAATCTGTCATCTTCACAGCTCTCCAGGTCAGCAAGTGCATGCTTTTTTATTAGCAATTAAACATTACAATTCCAGGTTTTTCCCACATATGGGACTCTCTTTTGTGCAATGTTCTGAAATACACTGTGGACAGCCAGTTAGAGGTGGGTTGGGTTTTTTTCTTTGTTTTTTGGTACAAATATATATGAAAATATTTCACACCGGTATGTAAAAAATAAAGTTACAATAAAATAGCTGCATGCAGCATTAATATACACTTTTGCAAACGTTTTTGAAGGGGTTGGACAAGGGAAGTGAGCTGAAATTTTGAAATCAATTGGAAATCTCCTTCTAAAATCCCAACGTTTGGATAGGCTATCAAGTCCATTTTTCAGTGTTCTAAAATTGTGAAAAGCATTTTGTGCTGTTTTAAAAAAATATTGGGATCTTTTCAAAGCTCCTCACCTTAAGTTGGAGCTGTTCTTTAGGAATATTGTGGATCCAAATGTTTGCCAATTTTAGCCCAAGTCAATCTAACACCAACAATATTAAAAACCTTAAAATTAGCATTTCAAGGATAATATCTTTTGCTGTAAAAAGATTTTACCATGGTTATTTGATGAAGTGATGCTTCTATGAGCTATCAATGTTAGATGATCCAACCCTGTTTGACCTATTTCCGCCACCTTCCACATACAATATGCAAAGTCTCTTTTTGTCTCACAAAGAAAGCACACAAGCCGTCCTTCAAGAACATCCAAAACATTGCCTAACCACAAAAGAAGCAAGGGAAAAAACTAGGTAAAATCATTTACAATTACAGGCTTCCAAAAAGGATGCATTTTTCTTAATTTTTAAATATCTTTAACCATTACCCTTTCCTTCTTTGAAACAGGCAACCTTTGTTAATTCCAAAACATCCATGAACTTGCATGCTACTGAGGTTTATCATGGGATTTTTAGCACTTTGTATTAGTTCAAGATCAAAAATTATATCTTGAAACTAAATCAAAGACAACAGACTCAACACATAATGATACGTACAAGGTCATTAACAGAAAACCATACATGCATCTCTACAGCATAGGAATGGTATTTGTTGAGTCATTCTTAGCTGCCTTCATTTATCTACACAAACCCATCCATTTTACAACTTCATTATATTTTAGCTGTGTGAAATTCTACCAATGTCTAATAGTAGAACATCATAAATTCATAGTATACTTACATCACAGTAATATATATTTTTAGCAAGAGGTTTATATTGATGGTCACTCATTTACTGGTTGGGTCATTCTCTTTTTTCTGCCACTTGGACCTCCTTTCCTCCTCTTCCACACTAAGCGATACGTTTGCTGAAATTTTACAATAGCGGAGATTGGAAAGTACACTTAGTTCATTTGTTTGTTTCCTCGGCGTCTTTGGATTATAAAGGCAATTTAAATATGTGGCTTTATCCCTCAGTTGAGGGTCTTGTCCCAATGAACATGGAGTTGGTGTCACTGGAGTGGTGGGGGAGGACCTCTTGTTCAGCTCCGGAAGATCCAGGGTGCAGTCTAAATTCTGGCGAAGTTTCCCAAGAGATAAGCCGTCAGTAGGTAGTCTGAAAACGGAATGATATGTATTCTTGGGTTGTTTTACTGATGGACTTTCATTCCAGTTTTGCTGTAGGTCATTCTTCCATGGGTTGGAAAGTGCAGATTCTTGTTGCAGAAAAGACCTGTCTGACTGCTCCGGCAGACAAATTATCTTAGAATGCAGTCCAGTCTCCCGGGGCTGTCTGCTTCCTAAATATGGACTGGCAAAGGAGTTGTCTCCTGCCTCACAAAGTTCAGTGTCTGTGTTAACAGCCACTAACATGTGGTTTTTAGAGTCGGAACGTTTCATATCTGCTTCGGTCTCTGGTTTTAGGTTTACCGATATATTCTGGAACTGAAACGAGGCCTTATTACAAGCTACTTGCTGAATTCCTGCACTACTAGAGACCTGGCACGATGGAGAAACAGTCCCATTGTAGCCAGGAACACTGATTTCTTCTGCTTGACTTTCATAAATAGCAAGAGCAGGATCTGCAGAGGACTTGCAGCTTTTTGATGCAGCAGGTTGTCCGAAATGCTCCTGGCCAGTGTCCTTTTTACATGCAACACCATCGCATTCATAATGATTAGCTGCTATAGGACAGGCATTTTCCAAGCTGCTTCTACAAGGACTGGTGTCTATATTATGCCAGGTATCGCAGTCAACCCTCAAACTTTCACTCGGGCCCAACAGTTCCCTAAAATTCTTTTGGTCGTCTGTGTTGTTTGAGCTAATAGCTTTCTCTACCTCATACGAGTTGTGCTCAGTGTAGTCTGATTGAACCGTCTTTGTTTTCTCAACATCAATATTAACCTGAGCTCCCTTGTCTTCATTAAGCAAGCATTCTGCATTGGCACTTGCCTCTCTCAGTCTGCCTGCATGTTTCTCTTCACTGGGAGAAACGTGCATTTGCTGCGCCGAAATAACCTCATTTGGCAAATAACAGTTGGAGACCCTATCGGCTGCTCCTTTACATCCAACTTCGTGAACATCCATTAAAGAGCCTTTACGACTATTCGGACTGGAAGTGCTAGAGCCAGGAGCCGGGGTGAGAGGGAGGTAAGTAACGGCAGATGCTATAGCACTGAGTTGTTGCGATTTTACAAGGCAGAGTTCTCGATGTAAAATAGTTGGAGAGGCAGTGACCCAACCTTTTTCACCCCCAGCCAAATGCCCACTGATGGTATTTGTCTGCGCCAGTTTAACCAAATCGGTTTCTGCATCCAAAGACTTCCAGTCTTGGACAAGGTGCTCACTACCTGCATTCTCAGATCTTCTGGCTGGAGGATTAGCACCAATGGAGGCATTTCCTAGATCCGCCATCCTGGTCTGATCTGTTATAGTGCATTTTTCAGTGCTCTCTTGAAATTCAGCGACGGGGTCAACAGTTGCCTGTCTTAGAGAGCAGCAATCAGCTCCAACTTCTTGGTGAGCTATATCAGTTGGTTGGGCCCGCTGCAGAGTTCTTGTCTGAGGAAGTCCACAAGAAATGCTATTGTCCTCTTCAGGCAACTCTTGATGGCAAATCCAATCAGGAGCAAAGGAAGCGTGTACGTCCAGCAAAGTGCTGTCGTTTCCCTTTTCCCGTTCAGTTGTTAGTGGCTCGTCACTGTTTACATACCGGGCAAGGAAAGTTGTAGTCACATCTTGTTCTGTAAGATTTAGTATAAATACAAAACACCATGACACATTATAAAAAATCCTTATCACCGTTTCTACAGTGTGTGAATTCATGACCCCAATTCATGTCCATCCACCAATGAACTGCACATGGATATTGGGGTAGTGGATATACTGAGATGCTTCAGGAGACGTAAAACCCCTTCACGTTGTGTGTTACAGTGCTCTGTCTGCCTGAGTCTCGCAGACAATAATTGAAACTGAAATACAGCGATGATTACAATCGATCACTACAGAAGCTATTCCTGTCTGCACACTTGATAGTTAAGTTTTACAAAGCTGTTGGCTGCACATTATCATGCGGCAGTTATTTCCAAAAATTAATTAAATCCCGAATATTTGAAAATATATTGCCTTTTATTAAAAACAGGTGAAATCCTTCTAAATTCCCTAGGCGGTGGTGAGTTACATTTTAAAAGTGCTGAAACAAACGTTAATTCTTTTTATACATCATGAAGAGATCTAAGGAGAAGGGAAAGGAGGAAACAGCTGTTATATGGCATGAACATTTTTAAAAAATCTCGTACAGTGAAACCTTTGTTGTCCAGCACTCTGTTAACCAGAAAACTTTGTTAACCAGCATTGCCCCCAGCCACAATACTGTCACATCTTCAGGCGCACAGGTCTGGATTGGTTTCCCATGATTGGCTTAATTTTTTATTTAAGAAGTACTAACTCAAAATAGAAATGTTAGACCAACTGCCTCACACTACAAAACTACCAATATTAAAAACCTGAGTTTTACTATTATTGTCCATTGGGTTTTCCTAGGTTGATGGGACCCTCAGATAACCGGAACGCCCTAATCCCCGGGCGTGCCAGATAACAGGTTTTACTGTACTTTGAAATTGCTTTCTGCTGCTGCCCTTATTATATATGGCAAGTAGAATCTAAGCACCTGCTGGCCTGCAGCACACTCTGCTGCCCGGGGTGAGTTTAAGCATAATGCTAAGCAGAGAATGCCTGCATGGCCTTGTTTTCACAGCTGCCTGGGACTTTGTTACGCAATGTAGTTCATTTATCAGCCACCACAAGCATGAGCACAGGACTCAGACTATTTCTTAGCATTAGCTCACACCTCCCCCGGCCACAGACGGATGTTCGTTAGCAGTGGAACACAAAACCTCCTGTTGAAATTAGGTGTCAATTTAATTCAAAGCAGCGGCGCGTAGAATGCACGGAGCTGCAGGCTTGCTACACTCCGTGGCTAATCTCCAGTCATTTCCTGGGCTGCTGCTTGGGCCTCCGCTTTTCCCTTCTCTGGGAGAGTTTAACGAAAAGGTTAATGGTGAGTCTCTCGTTACCTCTCAGAAGATCCAGATCGGAGGGGGGAGCCTGTGGAGACAGATCTAATTGCTCTCTTGAATTCACACGTGCAGTCTTCAGCTCCTTCAAAACTTTCTGGGCAGCTGGGCAGGGCTGGTATTCATTGCAACAATTTGTATGGGATTTCCAAAATCTCTCTCTAGATAATTTATTATTCTTTAAGGAGGATTCTTCGCCAGGTGTCTCGCTCCTCGGTATCCTATCGGAGGGCCTCTCTTCCCCCGATCTAGCGTTATCCCAGAAAGAGCGAGGAGGGAGAGCCTCTTTCTCAGAAAAGGTGGTAATTAATTTGTCCTCTGCTGCAGGCTTGATGCCTTTATTATCTGGGTTGCTGGCACTAGCGTGTTCTCCAGAGTTGGCGAAATCTGAAAGCAGGGAGTCGGCTGGTGCTTCGGGTTCTGGCGCGAGGTTGCTATTCCCTGTGTTCATAGACTCTCTCGGATGGTCGCTTACACTCTGTGCAATGCGGCAGTTCTCAAGACAGATGTTTTTCTGAAAGGCTGGTTCTTCCCTTCCTCGATCTGTGCATCCGTCTTCAGTGGTAGCGGTGGACTCACCTTTTATAAAATGTCGTTGGCATAAAGTCTCGCAGTCGGGGCCTCTTCTCGAATGCACCGAATGGGCCTCAAATCCAGTCTCACCGTTTTCTTTGGAGGCTCTCTCTCCAGCAGCCTCTGCTAACTGGCTGGAGATGCTGAAGTGTAAAGAGCTCCAGGATTTGCTTCTCTTGCTAGAGGCGGTGTGACCTCCCTCTCTGCCGGTTTGTGTCTGGGTAGCGCTTTCTGCTGGAGAAACTACATTTACCAAAGTCCTGAAACATTGAGAACCTCCCAAGCGGGCAAAGGGACTCAACGCCTGCTCTTCCCAGTGGGTTTCAAAATATTTCACCAAGGCTGTGAAACAGAGAGAAGCAAGTTGAAGTTAACGACATTGGAAATACGTATTTTTGCCACGCGTGCCAATCTCACTTCTCTCACCTGAGCATAGAACTACACCCCCCCCCCCGCACACAGGCGAAAAGGCATTTCCCCCCCAAGTGTGTGCCCCTACTTGGGCTGGAAACGGGGCTCAAACACTAAATGCAGGAAGCACATGAGGATTTGCTATAGGGATTTAAGGACATGTCTGCCATGCAGCATTTTAATTACAGGAAGACCCTTGTGATTGGTGGAATCGCTATTCCTGGTTCTGAGTATTTGCGGGTGACTCGTGTCCCAGCATAGGGAGGATAGCAGGGGTTGAAAGCTGCAAGGAACTCACTGTCACTTCTGGTCTCTGCTGTGAGTTCCCTGCAGCTCCTGGTCCCCTCCCCCCCCCTCCCTGTGAGTTCCCTGCAGCTCCTGGGCCCCC